ACGAACGTATCTCGCATAACTCAAAAACGAGTAGCCTCAGAACGTTGAAATTTTGTATATAGGACTGCTATAACATGTAGATGTGCACCTTGTTATTTGGTTGCAATCGGCCGCACCAAACGTATATAAATATATTTATATATATATCCAATCTGTTACCCGGCTCAGCGATCTCAGTTTCTTTACTCTCATATGTTTGTAAATTGTACATTTTGTCTTTAAAAATGATTGAATTATATTGTTTTTATCATGAGGTTAAGAATTTTATGCCTTTAGTAAATCTGTGTGCAATATTTTTAGAATTATCAGCAATTTTAAAATTGTTTAATTGCCACTAAGCCTGTTTTAATGGCAGCCATTGATGTTTACATTTGAAACAGGAGACTAGTGGATTTGTTGCCAATCTAGAGAAACTTACCTTCGCAACAACAAAAATAACACATTCATTTATTATTGCCAATTAAATCATGCTTAATTCTTTCTGGAATTTTTTCGAGGAAATAAGCGTTTGAGATTTACTTCGTAATTTTTAATATAGATATTTTGAGTTTTTATGTGTTTTTGCCTTCTCGCGAAGTAAGAACTGAATTAATTAAATGAGAAATACTCAATCGTCTGTGAAACTGTTTCTTTTTGGTTTTATTTGCTTAATTTCTTTTATACACAGTTCTAGCTTTATTATAGTATTTGAATAGAACATGTGGCAACGATTAGATAATTCTTTAAATGATATACATTTTGTGCATTCTGAGTTATAATATGAACGAAATATAATACTGTTAAGTAAACCTAGCGCCAGAGTGTCGCTATGGTAAACAAAGTGAATTTTAAAGAATGCATTTATTCTATAGTGGTTTATGCGCTGTCGGCAAAGTAGGTTTAATTCAATCTAATAAGTTTAAATAAAATGCAAGAAAAAATGCATATAATTTAATATTGCGTACAAGGAAGTCATGTGGTGTATACATCAGATTTTTTTTACTTGAATTGTTCTAACAATAATTTGTTCAGTTGCAATTGCCTCCAGTTTTTCCTTAAAACTGATCTAAAATGGACCAAAGGAAGAATAGAATGTAAAAAGCTTTGAATACACATCAGCTCTAACTTTGCTGAGCATTTTTGATCCATCAGTATACATGTGAAGTCAATTATTCTTTGGATACCCAGAATAAACTGTTTCCACAGCAGCTTCTTTTAGTTCACTATCAATTAATGATGACTTTGTCTTAGCATACATTAAATAACATTCAATTCTAATAGATTTTAGGTGGATAGGACTTGTTGGTTTCAATAGTTCTTCTGTGGAAACATCCAGAAGGAAATAATCTGATTTCAGCTTTCAAAGTTTCTGCAAAAATGCATCCTGAGTCTTCAATCTTCTAAGTCTAGAGATATCATAATTTCTCTATAATTTTGTTGATGGTAATCAGATTAATACTCATATAGCATTAAAGCTCTTTTCTGAATAATTTCCTTCAATGGTTTATTGCCTATACTGGAGTGATTTTCACAGTTCCAGTAACATGATCAGGGCCTGATTTTGAAAGACTTCAAGTTTCGAAATATTTGTATAAAGGCATCACAACAATAGCAAATTAATGGCTTGATGTATAAATTATATGTTTTATTTAGTTTCTCTTCCACAACCCCATTTTACTACTGTGAGTCTTTTAATCACCGTTAGCCTTTTTTTGAGCTCTATCAATCACATTATCAATATAATTCTGCCAAAAGAGTTTCTTGTCAAATTTCACTCCTAAATAAATATCTTCCTCTGTCTCCTGGATGTTTCTACCATTATTCTTCAAGTCCATATGACTTGGTTTATGATTTATTGGGAGTAAATATTACTTGTGGCCATAGCATACTTTAAGCTACACATGCCCCCTGCCTAGTACTAAATGAGTAACAACTCTTGTAAGATTGGAGCTATGTTTACAGCTATGGAAGCCATATGTGTTTGTGCTGGAATCCGGGCGGGATGTCACAGGCAAAGAAGGGAGAACTTGAGAATACTGTAAGCTTGTAAACCCAATACTAAAGCATTATTTGCTTAGCGATTTTACATACTGTATACTTAATTAGTTTTAGGGAAACTTCTCTATGATTTGAGATTAATTGGATTATTTAATTGATAAAGGCACACCAAGAGGTTAAATGTCAAGTTACAGTCTGTCTATGATAAGAAAAACTCTCGGCAGTTAGTCTGCAGCTGTTTTTTGCTATAGAAACGAGCCTTGACCCATTTTCTGTATGAGTGTCTTGAAGATGAATGATAACTCTTTTCCTCTCAGCCAACAGTCGGCAAAAACAAAATAAAAATAAATCAACCCTTGGTTCGCCCCTATTTGAAATATACTAGCCTTGTTGCTATAGCGACCGCCACCTGCCAGACACAGTGGTGGGAGCTGTTCTTCTCATCTGCACCTTAATTGAAAAATCTCGAATAAGTATTGATCGGACATGCACCATGGTCACCAGAAAGTATTTATGTGGCACCCTCAATGTTGCCCAAAAGTATTTAACTAGAAACCCACAATGTTGCCAAAAAGTATTTAAGGATGGTACGTGAATAGCATATATGAGTTTAAATACATGCAGATTTGCACTTTGAAATTTAAAGTTAATTTTTCTCATTAGTATTTCTTTCTACATCAAGTACATTTGTTTTTCATAATGATTCATTAATGGGACTGTGGAGTTTGATGGGTGATGAAAAAAAAAAAAAAAGTGCTGCATTTCTTCAAAAATAAGATTTTTGTCCAACAACAGAGAATGCAAAAAATTTAGATTACATTTAGATGTACTTCTTAAATCTTCTTGAAATACAATGTAAAAAATAGGAAGTAAAACATTAGTGTATGGGTCAGAAGCTGATTTGAAGATAGCCATTTCTCGTTTAAACCAGTTGTTCACTTTATTTTTTGCTGGAATATATACCAGTGAAACTGTGATTTAGAATTGGAATTATTTCCAAACACCATTACTGATTAAGGTAATTACTCTAAGAAGTGTGCGTATCTTTTATGGAAAAAGAAGAACATAAAAGAAAATGTGTGGTGAATATATCACTGAATAATTAGTGGATATAATAAGTGGATATATCACTGAAGCAGACGCAAAGAAATTGGCATTCATTGGCATCTTTGTCTCACCAAAATTGCCAATGAGTCTGTGAATGCTATACAAAGTTGGCAACAAGTCTGTGACTTTTTCAGTGGGACTGAGCTGATCAGAAAATACCACTGAAATTATCAAACATTGTTTAGTAACTGAGTTCTTAACAAAAGGCAAAACAAAGAGTTAATATTCCTGAATGCATGGTGGCAGTTTATGACTATATACCACTTTCCCATGTCACTGTCAAAAGCTAAGCTGCCACATTTAGAACAAGAAAGACTGTTACTTGAAGAAGATCCCAGATCATGCAATAGCACAGATTTGACCACTGAAAAAATATGTGCTAAAGGACTACGAGTTGAAAAATAGACAAGGGACAGTTTTACTGTTCGCTATGGAACTGAGCAGAAAAGATCCTGCATGAAATGCACACGCTTGTGCGAAATGCATATGTGATGAAAAGTGGCTCCCCTGTGACTGGAAATAAACAAATAAAAAAAAAGTATGGTGTGGAAAGCTGTCAATAGAAGGAAAAGAAAATGACCTATAACTGACCTAAAAATTACTAAATATATGATTTATGTTTACATTAGGTATTTATCCCAAAATCAATAAACACATTTACAAACAGGTATTCATTTTTGCTCTGGCAGAAATTTCACGGCAATGTTTTATGACCATATTTCCGTGATGTTATTTTCACAATTTTGTCATAAAATACTGTATTCCCCTAGAAATGTTATCATAGTTCCCCCCCCCCAATATAGGCAAGTTCTGCAAGTGTATGTTTTAAAGTTGTGTTTTAACACAAAATATGACAATTTCTCGAAAAACGGTTTGAACTTGAATTTAAAAAAAAAAAAAATAAAATAAATAAAGGCTTATTAAAATGATGATGTTTGTTAAGAATTGAACTGAAGAATTGTTATGCACATGGTTGTCAGAGTTTGATGCATTCTGAAAATTTCGTGACTTGGTAAGCACCTAGAAATCTTACAGGAAGATTTCAACCTTTCCCCCCCCCTTTCACATAAAGAAAAGGAGCATTATTGCATAATCACACAATACTTACTGATTTAAGTCAAAGTAAAACACCATGACAAACTCAGAAGAAAGATGCTGTTTTTATAAAACAATATTATAGTATGCAAGGCACACAAGGCTCAGATCTCCTCGACTGCTACTCAGCAATATACATTTCAATTTATCATCCATCTTAACATATTCTAAAGACATGGTCCATCTTAACATATTCTAAAGACATGGGCATAAGCAAATTTTTTTTTATTTAAAAACTGAAGCAATATACACATAGTTCACAGCACTATTTGATGATGATAGTTTGAAGGATACCATAGGTCTCTATGCTAAGTGTATTAAGTCAAAGGGAACTATGTTAGAAAACTGAGAAAGTAACTTTAGACATTTATTTTTTAATTTGATAGAGTTGAAACTTGCAGAACACCTGCCATATATAAAAGAAGTATACATATTTAAACTTTAAAGCTTAGAATAGTGTTGATTTAAATTTTTTAGAATATTTTAACAAATAATATGACAAGGGTTTTTCTTCAGATGCACTATTTTGCTAAGATTCTATAATCAAACAAGCACTACAACATTGTTTCTGAAAAAGATAGACACGTGCCAGATAGCCAATTGAAAATAAATAATAATCTAATAAGAATTTTTCTCGGTTAAAAATGAAAATGTATAAAATTTTTTAACACTTCACTTTATTATTTATTATTATTTATTTATTACTCATTTACTTTATCATTTATTTAACATTTTAACATTATACAAATTTTTAATTCTATTGAATTAACATCCCAAATTAAGAAATTAATGATAATGAAACAAGAGATAAAAGTATTAACCTAGATGCTGGGGACTGAAATGAGATTTGTTGATCTCTGTAATGGGAAAGAGAACTGTGTTGACTTGGAGTTGAAGGAAAAGATGTGTTATGCTGCTTAGGTGTACTCCAGGTTGCTGCTCCAACCTTAAAAAATAATAAAAATTAATCCCATAATATTGTTTTTAATTTAATAACAACACAAAACTTCATTATCAAATATTAAAAGCTTTTTAAAAACTATTCCTTTTTCTTTCTGTCTAATGTTTCTTAAGACAGGAACAGGAAATATTAAGTACAATATAAAATTGAATAAAATTAGAAATTACTTAAAATACCCTTAAACAAAAATGCATAAGAAATAAATAAAAAAAAAAAAAATATCTTACAGGTGATGTTGAAACCTCTCCAAATAAATAAGGTGGTAAATAACTTTGACTGGAAGTTGCTTTGGATTTTGGACTAGATACAGGAGAACCAAGAGTCATTGGTTCTGTATTAGGACTACCTGGATCTGCAATAGAAATACACTTTTTAATTAGTTTGCTTTTAAAGCAGATGATGCATAAATTACAGCAATACATAGTGTTATGGTTTTCGTATTGATTTATTTAGTTTGCTATTTTTAATAGAATTGTTTCATTTCCCCGTGCAATGCTGCATGCGACTTATTTTAAACAGAAAGCTATGCCAGGAAAATTACAGGAGTATGCGCATTTAATAAATAGATATCTCGTAATTGCACACTTTTGCTTTTCAGGAAAAAATCAAGAAAATACGAGAAAATGCTTGTGTGTGAATTAAAAAGCTTATAAAAGGTGGAAAACCTCTCAGTTCAGTTTTATTTTAGCAGTTGTTTTAAAAGTTTGTTTAAAAAACTGCTGCTGTTTACTGTAGCAAATTCGCGGTGAAATTGGATTAGCTTTCTCTATGTTTCTCTATTTTGAATTAGTTCTGTTGAATGTTTTTAGTAGTTTAAAAGATAACTACTGTGAGATATTGGGATACTGTATGAATATCTAAGGAAATTTAAGCATTTTGTTTTATTTGCTGTGATAATAATAAATTTTATTAATTTTTCATCGGACTGGTGCATTCAATTCATAACAAACCCATACGCACGCAACAATATAATAAATGATCTAAAGTCACAGAAAACACAAAAGGTCAGTATTTCATCAAGCAATGATAGTAGCACAATGCGGTTCATCAAGCAATGATAGTAGCACAATGCGGCTTTCATAGAAATGCATAGAAAAATACTTTTTTTGGCTTATTAATAATAATAATAAAACTGTAGCTAGAATAGTTACATTTTTTGTACATTCTAATTATCTGCACCCAATCAAAAAGTTAAACATGTTGGCAACTATGTAGAAAAGCATTTATTTGGGTAGCTTTATCTCTATTTTGGCTCCGGTTTCCTCTAACTGTTCCTTCACCTTTCTCTCATGTCTTCTAATTTAGCTTCAGTTTCCTAAACTCCACGATGTCGCTTCTAATCATGTTTTGCTCCACCTCCATCTGCCGGAATTGCTCTTGCAGCTTTTCTTGTCCAGCTTTTATTTCTTCTTGTCCAGCTTTTATTTCTTCTTGACCCGATTTTATTTTGCTCTTGATCTTAGCCTTCATCTCCTCCTATCTGGTTTTTTTCTCAGCTAACAAGTCCACCAAAACCTTCAGTTCCTCCGTCATGGCTTTCTCGTGCAGGTGGGTCACTGGCAGCAGTCACTAGCAAATCCCACTTCTGTCACCAGTTGTTGCAGTTTACGGGTTTATGGATTTGGAGTGAATGATGACAACACTTGATGAAGAATCAAAACACAATTTATTCATCAGTATTACAAAAGACACCTCCAAAGATACATTACAGTCATTAAAAAAAATGGCAAATGTGCTGAAACAATCAGCAACACAGATAATGGTGAAGACAGTTTCACGACAAAGCACTAAAGTACAGCTCTCAGCTCAGTCGATTATTCTCAAGCTAATCTCTGAATTCAAGACACTACTACTGAACTCAACATACTCCAGATACTTTCCTACTCCGCATCAAGGCAAAGTGTATATAGTTTTTGACCTGCCTTCAAGAACCTTCTCGCGAAAACCGGTAAGAATTCATTCTAGAATGTTTTCGCTCTCTCTGTGGCATATCGCCAATTTTTCGACAAATAGGAGATTCTGTGGCAAATCTGGCAACCCTTATCCTGTTTTGCAGGCCTGGGCATTTTGCAACAATACTATTCTTACGTCAAAGATACCACAATAACATTATTATATTAGTTAAAAATATTGTCACACAACTAATCACTAAAATAAAATTTTTGTAAGCAAAGTGATTTTAAAGCCACTAAAAACTTGACAATGTATGCAAAAGAACTTAAATTTACAGGAAAAAAAAAGGGGGGGAACAAACTTAAATTGGTCAACCAACTTTTTGCATTTTAAATACAAATCTCATGATAAATTTCCGAACTGCCACAACTTTAATCATTGAGAAAATAAAAAAAAATAAAAAAAGGGGGGGGGGAATTTTACACATAAAATTTGAAAACTAGGGCAGTTTTTATAAAAATTATAGCAAGGCTGCAGTTATTAATTAATCTACGATATATAAATCTTGCTAAAACCTATAGTTCCATAGAAAAATTTCCTCAACAGCCAATCAACATTGTTAACATTTAAATAAGAAATATTTTAAAGTGTCATTTTTGCTCCCAAGGAATGTTCGGTAAAAATATATTTCAAAGTACCCCTTAGTGAAAATTGGTGATTTTTTGGCACCATTCCTGTTTACTTCCAACGCCCTCCCCAGTAATCTGACATCTGAAACAATATGCAATAAAACATAATTAAAACAAAAAATATATAATCTGAATAAACTGCATTTTAAATCAAACAAGGAAATACATGTTATGTAATCTACACAATAGAAAAGGAAATATCGACTTATTAAAAAATTTATGTTTCTTTGGTATGTGAGACAAAGAATTCCTGAACAGCATTCAAAAACTATTTTAAATTATTTAAAACTAGAATTTGTGTACTGCTTTCGCCACATAAATTCACAAAAGTAAAAATGAAAAGTACTCTCTGTACTGTCGAAAGCATTTTTTTCGAAAATCCCTTTTTATTACACCCTACACACCTTTCATAGTGTTGATATGAGCTCCAGTTTCCAAATCCTTAACTCTCACTGTGTAATTTACCAAGAGGTGAACGAAGCCATTTAAATCTTCATTTACACACCAGTCAATCAATGTTTTCTTTCCCAATCATTCTAAAGTGCACAGAAACTTTGGGTTAATCATACCACCAGCAGACATTTTACAGTATAAAGCACAAAATAAACATCATGCTTCCTAAAATACGTCCAACACACAAATAAGCCCTTATAAATATTGAAATTTCTTACAAAATCCATTGGTTAAAATTCTTACAAAATCCATTAGTCAAATTCACCACAATCATGCAACCAGTCACGTCATAATAGGGTTTTAAGAACATTCAACTACTCAGGCTACCATAAATGAAACAACAATTTTGCGAGAATCCAAGGGGCACTCTAAAATATAGACTAAATGTTCTAGATCAAGATTTCTTAAAATTTTTTTCAGTCGCGACCCCTTTTAATCATTGAGATTTTTTCACGACCCCCCAGGACCCCCATAAAAGCATTGCACAAAACACACACGTGAGTGTAACTGTCAATTCTTTCATTTGTATTGTAATATAGCATAGCAGTTTTAGGTCATTAACTTTAATTTCTAATTTTAAGACAATGTGAAAATTTTAAATAAGTGACAGACGAAATGACAGTGTCACATGCAAAGCAAAGAAAATGAACGTTTATATTATAAAAAGAATGCGTCGAAAAGTTTTCGTTTTTTTCTTTGTCTGTATTGTCTGTATCTTTATCTATTTTCAGATACGTTGTATAAAAATATTTGGTAATTGTAAATTTATTATAGTAAGTTAAAGAAATATCGAGACTGCTAAAATTTTTGGCGAACCCTGACCCACAAGGGGGTCGCAACCCACAGTTTAAAAAACCCTGTTCTAGATGGTCCTTACTGTTCCTATCAGTTCTCAAGCAAGGGCAGTTAAACTCTGCAGAAATACATGGCTCTCTTCAGCAGCTCTCCCTAACATCAGCAATTTTTTTCAGATCATTGTTATCCTTTTTGAAGGCTTTTTCTGCCCTTTTAGCCATTAAAATACTTTATTCTATATCCTTAAAGAATTTCTGAATTAACTGACGACAAGTGCAAGGATGACCTTCATTTTTCTGAAGGTTATGTTTTTACCACAGTGGGTTGAAGTGCAAGAGCTATTTTTCATTACAGAGAAAACTCTTGTTAATAATACAGTCAAAAGTCGTCAATTCGGACACCCATAATCCGGGATCTACAATCCGAACCTCAAAGCTAAAAACTTTCTGCACATGCGCCGCGTTGACACATGCACATAGTTGTTTACGCATGTGCGTAAGACCTTTACAACTGCACATATGCGTGTGCGCAAGCGCAGAATACGTTTTCTCGTGCGCGTTTTATGTATAACGGATGGTATAAGCTAAAATTATCTATTTCAGTTAATGTTGATGATTGAGTTGTTCCTTAATTATCGAGTTGGATCCGGCTTATTATTTTTTGCAGACTGTAAGAGCAATTTTATAAAAGTAAACTTGAACTTTCGATTATGTCAAATAGAATTTCTGATGCTGGAGCTCCCAAAGGATCTACAAAACGAAAGTATGTTTTGCTGTCCATCAAACAAAAAGTAGAATTGCTGCAAAAAATGGATAAAGACATGAAGAAGGTGACAGAGAGGTTAGTGAAAACGAAAAACTTTCGATTGACAAGTTAGTCGGTAATCTCGGCACAGCAATTACGGGACTTGAACAGCGTGAACAAGAAATTATGTTTGTTTATAGAGTTAAAGAGAAAGTATTATCACACAAAACGAAGCAACTTAAACAACTTACATTGAAAGAAATGTTTAATAAAGTAAACAAATAAATATTAAGCTTTTTTTTTTTTTTTTTTTTTGTAAATTTTGATACCCTTTAGATCATAATTCATCTTTATTTTATAAATTACGGTTTCATATTTTTAATTTTAGAATTTCTGCATACCATCTTACGAGATTTAAACTGATGATCTATAATGCGGAATCGATAATCCTGAATCGCCGAAGTCCAGACGAGTCTGGATTTAACGACTTTTGACTGTATAAGCTAAAATTATCTAATTATCTATTTCAGTTAATGTTGATGATTGCGTTGTTCCTTAATCTTCGAATTGGATCCGGCTTATTATTTTTTGCAGACTGTAAGAGCAATTTTATAAAAGTAAACTTGAACTTTTGATTATGTCAAATAGAATTTCCGATGCTGGAGCTCCCAAAGGATCTACAAAACGAAAGTATGTTTCGATGTCCATCAAACAAAAAGTGGAATTGCTGCAAAAAATGGATAAAGACATGAAGAAGGTGACAGAGAGGTTAGTGAAAACGAAAAAATTTCGATTGACAAGTTAGTCGGTATTCTCGGCACAGCAATTACGGGACTTGAACAGCGGAACTTTGTAACTGAACAAGAAATTATGTCTGTTTATAGAATTAAAGAGAAAGTATTATCACATAAAACGAAGCAACTTAAACATCTTACATTGAAAGAAATGTTTAATAAAGTAAACAAATAAATATTAAGCTTTTTTTTTTTTTTTTGTAAATTTTGATACCCTTTAGATCATAATTGTTCTTTATTTTATAAATTACGGTTTCATATTTTTAATTTTAGAATTTCTGCATGCCATCTTACCAGATTTAAACTGATGATCTATAATCCGAAAAAATCGATAATCCGGAATCACCGAAGTCCTGACGAGTCCGGATTAACGACTTTTGACTGTATCTATTTCAAAAGGATGTGTGAACAACTAATCAGACATCCTGAAAGTTTTGTTCTAGACTGCCTAATTCTTCTCTGTTGTTTACAGTGCCAATATGTTACGAGCTGCATGCATTGAACTCTATACTCATCTGAAGTATTATAGTATTTAATGGCATATAAGATGCACCCTTATTTAGACAGCCACACACAAGGAAAAAAAGGTTTCAATAGCGTGGTTTCTTTTAGTTCTCACGTTTCGTAAAAGCCAAATAAACAATTATTGAATGCAATTACCTTCACGTATAAGACGAAGGTAACGTTTTTGAGAGCAAATTTAGGAAAAAAAGCGTGTCTTATATGCCGTCAAATACGGTAATTTACATTAAGAATGACAATCACAGAAAAGGGACGGAAATGTCAGATGAGCAAAATTAAAGATTGTTTGCAGTTTTTGCTGAAGGACTTTCAAACTCCAGAAATACTATTACAGAGACCTAAAGGCTTTTTAAGAAGTTTATAAACCTAAATTATTAACTATAGAAGATTAATTTATTTCTCTTTCTCTGTCCCAGAATTCCTATTTTTTAATGTACGATTTACAATCTTTTAGCCTCTCTTTGACTAGTTATGTTAAACCTTAATAATAAAGAGTGCTACCAAAAATTAAATCTGAAATAGGGTCTTTTAAAGATTAGCAACAATTTTTATTAATAGATGAGAAAATAATTTGAAATCTGAGCTTGTAGAGAATCTAAGCAAATTCGTAATTAACGGAAAAGAAAAGGACAAAAGGACATGTGATATAGCAAAATGGTGGCACTTTTGTTCACAGACGTTGTGTGACTGGCGAAATTTTGTTAACGAACGTATTATGGTACGTGCATTTTATTTTACTGTTTTTATTTTGTAGAATGTTATGTTCATTGTTTTTTTACTATGAATTTCTGTTCTTATTGTTGTTTTGGAATTGTTTGTAATTTTAGTTATTAGTTTATTTTGTTGATTTGTGTCCAATGCCTAGATTGTGGGATTCATAGATGTTTTTTTAAGTTTAAACAGGATGGTGTGTACATGGTATTCTTTGAAATTTATTTTTGTAATGTTAATTTATTAAAGTGACGTGTGCATAGTTCGTATATCCGTTCATTGTCTAGATTGTGCAATTCGTAGATTTTTTTTTTTTAAGTTAAACGATATCGCTGTGTACATGGATTCTTGTCAAATATTTTTGGTTAGAAACTTTACATTTCGGCTATCTAAATTTTTTGTTTTTGTTCTGGATTTTTAGCTTAAATCGTGTGTTCAAAATGTGTTTTTTGCATGTGCAAAAACCACGTTTTTGGAGACATTTTAGGCTTAAAGTTTGAAATGTAGACAAAAAAATTTAGATAATAATATGGCACCATGGAATTTCTCGCCAAAAATGTTTTTGTCGGCGTATTTGGCGACCTGAGGGCGCATATAAGTTCCAATTCCACTTTTGATAACTCTTTTAAATTGTCATTTTCTAACTTTGCTGGAGCTTCTCCAAAGTCTAAACTTTTGCCACCTGGTGCTGTTGCACCAGCACTGATTCTACATATACTATTTTTATTTATATGAATTGTTTATGTACCATATCATCATTTATTCGGCGATTTTGAATATTTATGTAAAAAACATGTAATGAATGTACTAAAATTAATGGAAATATATAACAAATATAGAAAAGGTTTACGACTTGAAAAAAAAAGCATATTTATCATAGAAATCTAGGGTACAACTCTAATATACGCCCTAATTTCACCAAATGTGGCGATATGTGTTCTGCGCTGGTTTTTGGCGCGATTGCGTGTTCTATGGCAACCCTGTTGACGTTGAAAAATCTTTCGCTGGAGCTCGTTGGTTCGCCTCTGTGTCTGAGAAGATGGGAGGGGAAGATAAAATGGTAGTTGTTGAATTGAAGTTCGGCAAAAGGAAATATGATTGTGGCTATCTGTTGAGGGGTGAGGGTGGTAGTGGGGTATTTGGAAGTGTGGAAAGAGGGGCCTGGGAGATTATTTAATGGCAGTGCATGATAGAAGTAGGGATTTGTGAATTTTATTTATTTGTGAACCATAGTATAAATTTTTCTGGATAGTGTGTCTGGCTGTTCATGTAAATACGATAGTGATTACGTGGCGGCATGTTAAAGGCAGTATGAAATTTATATTTCTGCTATTCGAAAAACGCATTAATTCATGTAAGTGCATTTTATTTTATCCTTGTTATTTTGTAGAATTTAGTTATGTTCATTGGTTCTTTAGTATGAATTTCTGTCGTTGTTGTTGTTTTTTTTAAAATTGTTTGAAATTATTTTAGTTTATTTTGTTTTTTAGTTTCTAGACTGTAGAATTCGTAGATGATTTTTAAAGTTGAAACAGAACGCTGTGTACATGGTATTATTTGAAATTTATTGTTGTTATGTTATTTTATTAAAGCGAGGAGTGCGTAGATCGTAGATTCCTTCCTTGCCTAAATCGTGCAATTCGTAGAATTTTTTAAAGTTTAAACAGGATGCTGTGTACATGGTATTCTTTGAAATTTATTGTTGTTATGTTAATTTATTACAGCGAGGTGTGCGTAGTTTGTAGATTCATTCGTTGCCTACATTGTGCAATTCGTAGATGTTTTTTAAGTTAAAACATGTCGCTGTGTACATGGATTCTTGTCAAATATTTTTGGTTAGAAACTTTACGTTTTTGCTATTTAAATTTTTTGTTTTTGCTTTGGATTTTTAGCTAAATTGTGTGTTCAAAACGTAGTTTTTGCATGTGCGAAAACCGCGTTTTTGGAGACATTTTAGGCTAAAAGTTCAAAATGTAGACAAAAAATTTAGATAGGAATATGGCAGCGTGAAGTTTCTCGCCAAAAATATTTGGCGACTTGAGGGCGCATATCAGAGTAGTTCCAAATCTAGTTATTTGTTTAAAAATGCCTCTTCTCTGAAAAGTGATAAGCTGATTGCAGTGAATAAGAAAGAATTATCTGTATTTTCTTATAAGACTAAACAATTTAATAACTACCTGATTTTTAGCATAATTTAACCAACTAAATAGGATTACAATTTAAGTATTAGATAACATAGTAAGTTCTGTATTAAAATTAATATTCTAAATCCAGCATATGTAAAGTGGAAGAAACAATATTCAGTGAATATTAGTTTAATTTTTTGAAGGGAAAAAAAGGCACATAATAATGCATTTTGACAAAATATACAGCTTTCTTGATATATATTGAGGGGTAAATTGCTGAATCACCCACTTATATCTATATGTACATGGACTAAGTCAAGGGTGTGCGCAATGCCAAGTTTGTGCATTCTCTCAGTGTACATGGATTCCGAGTTTGTGCAATTCTTTACTTGTTATTTTCAAGTTGATGCAGAATCGTCCGCGTACATGGCACGTATTGATGTGTACATAAACAAAGTCAAGGCAGTGTGCAATGCCAAGTTTGTGCATTTCTCTGATTTTTTAAGTGAAAATAGGTCGATGTGTACATGAATATTGAGTTTGTGCAATTCTTTAACTTGTATTTTCAAATTCGTGATTTTGAGAAACGCGCGAATCAGTGAGTGCTTCTGCACTTTCCCCATATTAAGAAGTAAGCTGTAGATATATATATATATGTTACCGGTGAATCACCGAAATTTGTAGAATGACGACTTTCATCGGTGAATGTCAATATTTACATAGTTGCTTGGTGTATGTCTGAAATATTTTCCAAATACTCTTATTTCTGACTTACACCGGTAATGTCGACATTCACCATGTACTAATAGTGAATGTTGAACATATAAGAATATTATATTTTCTTCTCTGTAATTCAGTAGCGAAAAAACGCACTTGAGACTTAAAATAAGAGCTTAGGAACTTAAAACACACAGTACATTCAAAATGATAAAGGAAAATAATAAAAGTTAAAAGGTGTGCTGCACTTAGTTTTAGCAGAAACCATTTCAGAAAGTATTTTAGAGTACTTTTCTTGAAAAAAAAAAAATAAATAAAAACAATTGTCTTCTCATTTACCCACAATTAATGCATTTAACTTTCCAAGAAAAAGATCACAATTCACTGCAGTATCCATTCAGTATAAATTAGGGTATCAGGAAAAAAAAAATTAAGAACACGTTGCTTGCACTATCAAACCTTGCCTAAGACTGACAAAACTGACTGGCTCCCACCAGAACAAGGGATTTGGCGGGAAACAGCTAGTCGCCTCTTTGTCAGCTCCTCTCTTCTCGACCTACACCAGAGCATATCTGCGATTGTCGACACACGCCGGTGAGAGTCCGAATGTACAAGAATGTAATGCAATATTCGATCTTTCACCGACGTATTTGGTGAATGTTGACATTCTTCGGTGAAAGTCAACATTCTCCAATTTCGGTGTTTCACGGTAACATATATATATATATATATAGTTATTACAGGATGCTAATTAGTTCACAAATGTTGATACTGAATTCCTTGTTAAATATGATCAGCAATGAACAAGAACTACAGGATGCTGACAATAAAAGAATAATTTAAGTTATTTCAAATATTAAAATTTTGTTTTACCATACCTCCAAATCTAACATCATTCGAACTCAGAGGCGAAAACATTATAAAAAATCGATTGCTAACCAAATTTCGCACGCTATAATCCGAATAAATAAATTGAAATTAGCAACTTTGCCCCGTTTCACTTCACATCACTAACCTCTCAATCGCCATTACTTGAAAAATCTGAAAAATAAAAGATGAGAAAATAGCATCAAAATTGTAAATATCAAGCGAAAATATTTTCTGAATTATAAGTCTTTATATAGAAGCTGGAAAATATCTCACTTTGAATATGATTTAGAAAGGAAGATTCTCATACATTTTGTATTTGAAGCAAATGCATAGAAATTTTGAAACTTTAAGAACAGAAACAAAAATTCTTATTTATTTCTCTTGAAAAGTTTCAAATATAATGATTCTGATGTTCCATTATTATTTTTCCTATACTCTTGCAAAAAAGAATTTATTTAGACTTTATGTAATTATTTGAAATATTTTATGCGTTTGGCAATTATATTACCTGTGGTGTTGCATTATGGGTAAGATCTGTAATATTTTTCAGATTGTCAGAATTGGTAGCGCTAGTGAGGGGACTTTAAATTTGTGTTTGTAAATCTGAAAGTAGATGAATATATGTACATATTAATATGGTATTTCTGCGAAGTTAAGTTTGAGTAGTATTTTATTTCAGGTTACCTTTGGAGAAAGTTTATACCTGTAAATTACTTTAAATTCTTTGAAATTCTCATTTAATTATGTGATTTTACAAGGTCTATCATAATGATATAAATCGGGAATTTGTAATAGCAGTGATTGGTTCTAAAGGTTCTAATTTGATACACAGCAATTATCGAAATGGTGAGAAGATAATACATAAGCAGGTATGTTTTGCATGGCGTATTTTCTGTATTTCATGTGTGAAAGTGAGATGAAAGAAAATTGCTTCGTGTAAATTTGTGTAGTGGTTAGATTTAATTTTTTTTCTCTTTATTTATGAGTTTTAAAATTATACAAATAAGCTCCTTACTCCTGGAAAAAAGTAGCAACTGAGGATCCTTTTAATAATATCAGAAGAGTTTGTTTTGGAAGGGAATTGATATTGTAATTGCATAAAATTGGGGTTGAGAAGGTGTGCTAAGGTACTTTCAGAACTTGGATTGATCTTTATTTATGATTTTCAAATAACAATATGAAATTTATGTGTTTTAAAGTTGCAAGAAAGAATTTATCACTAGTTTCATATTTTATAAATGGGAAGATGTGTCCAAGAGCAAATCACTTCATTGTTTGCTTGTGTGTTTGTAATTTATATTAATCCATTGGGAGTACAGTTGAGAACACTTAAATTACGGAAGAGTTTTTCATAAAATTAAAAATATTCATTAATGTTCTGGGATATTATGTTATGGATTGAAACTGATGGATGATTATTATTAGTATTCTCTGAAATTCAGATACATGATGTACCCTTTTTATGAACATAGAAGGGTCCTTTTTTCCTATTTTATTGAAAAAAAAAAAAAAAAAGTTCAGTTTTTCTTTTTTTCTTTTCTTTTTTTTTTTTTTTCCTTTCCTTTCAGGGGTAAAATAAATGTATAATTGATTGTGTATTGAAAAGAAATTTTCCTTTCAAAAGTGTTGTTTTAAAAGGAAAGGGTAATGTTTTGTTTTATGAACAGCATTCTTATTAGCTGAAGGTGCGTTAACCCAGAAGGGTTATTAGTCTCAAAAAGGCATTTTATGCGAGATCACTAAAAACATTCAGTTTTTTTTTTTTTTTTTTTTTTTTTCAATTTCTTGCCACCAGATATTATCGCCCTATATTGTATGTAGAGAAATTAAATAACCAAAAATCTGCATGAATGTATGTATCTTTTTCACATTGTGAAAACAATAACGCAGTCCTCCACTTGATTTTAGGCACAATTGAATAATGCAGTTCTCCACTTGATTTTGGGCACATGGAAGCCTGAATTTGGAATTTGATTTATTATCTATTTTAAATTTTGTAGAACTTTATGAACTTTTTAAACAAATTTTTGAATAAAACAATGATTTCAAAGCAAGCAGTGGCAACACTGTACATAATAAAATATTTTAATCTCCAGTGTGCGAGACTGCCTATCAGAATTTCTAAAGATAAGCAAGATATGCTTTTTTAAATATTGGTAAAAGTATAGTTTAGGGTACCCCTTGGCGAAACTTGGCGATTTTTGGCGGCCTTTGACTTTATCTATGTACACGTTGACCTATTTTCACTTAAAAAAAAAATCTCCGAATTGCACAAAAATGGTATTGCGCACTCTTAACTTTATCCATGTACATGTCAACCTATTTTCACTTTAAAAAAAATCCCAGAATTGCACAAACTTGCATTGCGCACTCCCTTTACTTTGCCCATACACATCGATATATTTTTGCTTAAAAAGTCAAAGGATCACCAAATTCAACAATATAGGCAAACAAAAAAAAAAAATACATAATCTCAATGAAATACATTTTAAACCAAACAATAAAATGACATAAGAAAGGAAAAACATGTTATATATTTAAGCACTACCAAAAGCAAATATTCACTTACTATGAGTTTCGAGTTCGCTTCGTATACCCAGAGCCATGTAAAAAATCAAAATATCAATCATACTCAAATGACTTTTTTCAAACCAGGTACTCTTTCTGATCAAATGCTTCACATAGTGACCATCTGAACCTTTCTTTCTACAAACCCATTCAAATCCATCTAAACAGTTTTTATGTTCGACTAGACGCATATCCTTCCTACATACAGGACACTTATAATGACTTCATTTACACATAAGTCAATTAAAGCTCTTTTCTCCTTTCGCTCCAAAGCGTACAGAAACTTCAAATTAATCTTACTACACTCCATTCTACCGTCTAAAGAATCAAACCAATACACACCACAAAAACGCTTACAACACATCCCATGATTCAAAATTTCGCAGAATCATGCGCCCGATTGCGTCACAATAAGGTTCCCATAACATTGAACAACTCAGGCCACCATAAATAAAACAACATAATACAAGTCTACTCTACCCTAAATATTTTTAGCCTAAACAGCTCTTGAAATGTGTTTGTGTATGAAAAAAAAGCCCCTTTAGGCATAATATAAAATCTTAAAACTTTCAGATTTTTTTCTGTTATTTCTGTTATTGTTATAATAAATGTGCATTGAAGTAAAAAAATAGACTTCAGTCATATTAAACTTGGCAGAAAAAAAATTTTTTGGAAGAATACAAATTGCTCACAGAATCATAATTTTTTAATTAATCATCATTTTTGCAGTCAGATTCATTTTAATATTTAAAGTATATATTGATTATTCTGATTTTCTGTGTCTTTTGATTAATTGATTATATATTTTTCTGATTTCATTTTGAAAACATTCCTAGCTGATTGGTGCACAGATTACATGTTCTCAGTATATGATTAACTTCCCTTTTAAATGGGCTGCCTATCTGTTGAAATACAGTAGAACTCCAATTATTGGAATCAACTAGGACCAAACCCCATTCGGATAATTGGATTTTTACTGAAGAAAGGGTTTATGTACACTTTAATTAATTATTGTATGCACTTACTATATGTTGAAAAAAATATTTTTAAAGACAAAGAGGTTTTAATTAATTAAAATGAAAAGGCAACACTTTTACATGTATGTTACATAACATATCATACAGCACTTACAAGTGCTGAAAGTTACTGCTTGCTGAACATCTCGGTCAAAGTAAGCTGCTTGACTGTATTCATCCATTTTCCGGCAGCCAAGTCATGCATTCGCTTGTCAATGACGCTTAATCCACTTCAGCACAGTTTCAAGGCTGGCAAACATTTCACCAGTTGATGGTCCTGTATCTGCTACAACTTCAACATTAAGGTCCATCTTTTCCCTCGACACTTTCTTCTCTCACACTTTCAATAAGTTCATCATTTAGAATTAGGGTCTGACTAATCACACACCATCCATTCAGCTGTATCTTCGGCATTAACTTCTGAACATCGTGGAATTTGCAAAAGAATGTTTCTTAATTCCTCAAGTGACATGTCATCCTCATCATTTTCTCTCTTTTCCATGTCTTTTTCTTGAGCTTCTTATTCATTTTGTTCCTTTTCCATTCCTTCTTCAGCTGATTCTAGAAAAATCTTAAGTTTCTGAAAGCGATTCGGATAGTCGACTGTTCGGATAATTGGAGTTCTTCTATAATCACTTTGCTATAACGATTAATCTATGGATCTTTTATATGAGACTGTACAAAAAATTAAGATGCGTAATCATTTGAAAATATTAGTAATCTGAATTAAAGATAGAGTAAATTTTTTAAAGCATTTATGTAACTTTCTTAATCAGTACTTTTATTCAGCCTCCTGTTCTTCATACTATACTTTTTTTTTTAATAATTCCTAAGCAAATGCATTTTTATATTTTTATCTCTTGAATTATCCAAAGAAATGAATTTTAAATTTAAAAATTCCTTTAAAATCATACCTTATATTTAACATCAAAATTAATTTTTGTGCTAATGAGTGTTTTATTACTGTGATTGATATTTAACTTGATAATGTTAGTAAATGAATAATTCATAATCATTTATCAAATTGCGGCTGTTTAAACCAAAACTTATGCAGAATTAGTCTACAGGACAGGAGGTTGTGGCATTTTTCCAGAACTGAGGCATTAGGTTACAATTTGAGTAAGTCTGTCCTGCAAATAGAGAATTAAGAATGTTAAAGTGAATAGGGCATTTTAAAGTCATATCCTTAATTAAAGGTTAAACCCTCGTGCCAAAAAATTAAGAATCTGCAAAAATGCTAAATCAATAACAGAAATTTTTTAACAACTATAAATGCCATTTTGAGATTTATTAACCTTTTTGTTACAACCAAATCTAAAAGGTTAATAAATCTCCAAATGATTAAATGGTTAATAGCAAATTTCAAAGGTGATTTATTAACCATTCAACTGTCTCTCTATTTTCGTATCTTAGTTGTTACCTTCAGTAGTTCTTAGATTTTATCTATCTTCTGCAAGATTTGGGGAAAATTAATTCTCTTTTTACTAATAACATTAAACAAATACACTCAAAAGTCGTTAATCCGGACTCGTCGGGACTTAGGCGATTCCGGATTATCGATTTTCCGGATTATAGATCATCAGTTTAAATATGGTAAGATGGCATGCAGAAATTCTAAAATTTAAAATATGAAACCGTAATTTATGAAATAACAATTGTGATCTAAAGGGTATCAAAATTTACAAAAAGAGAAAAAGCTTAATATTTATTTTTTTACTTTATTAAACATTTCTTTCAATGTAAGTTGTTTAAGTTGCTTCGTTTCATGTGATAATACTTTCTCTTTAATTCTATTAAACAGACATAATTTCTTGTTTAGTTACAAAGTTCCGCTGTTCAAGTCCTATAATTGCTGTGTCGAGAATACCGACCAATTTGTCAATCGAAACTTTTCCGTTTTCAATAAACTCTGTGTCACTTTCTTTACCATCGGAAGCGAATTATAATGACGAGGAACTTGATTTAAATCATATCAAAGACGAAGTACATCAAGATGAAATACTACATTTCGTAAGGAATTATAAGCCAAATAAAATAAAAACATCTGCCCTGAAGATAAGGATAGTGCTGACAGATCAACTTCCAATTCATTGCGTGCCACATCGTTTCCCTCCCTCCGCAGAGCAGCGTGAAATTGATAGACATATTTTGGAATGATTAGATAATCAAAGGATATGCCTTTATCCATTTTTTGCGGCAATTCCACTTTCTGTTTAATGGACTTCGAAACATACTTTCGCTTTGTAGATCCTTTACATGTTAGTAAATATGTATCGGAAATTCTA